GAGTACAAGCGACAAAATTTTTTATCTAACTTTAAAAGGAAAGAAGTCCAACGAGCGTTATTTATTACAGAGCCATAACCTATTTTAAATTTAAAGTCTTTTTATTAATTAAATTATTAACTTCTTTATATTGCAAGACCTCGCGTATGCGATTTAATTTGCCTAATTTTTGAATTGCACTTTCTGATCTATGGGTCAAATCGGTACTTGGATATTTGGATACCGTTTTTGAAGCGGTAAAACTGTAGAAGGAACACAATTTTGAATAAATCACCGCCAATAAAAGTTTATTCATACGTGACTGAATAGAAATTTAGTACCCACAATAAGCGTACCTAACGAGTTTATTGAAATAACGAACACTTACAAAAAAAAAATCGTTACGTGAGCTTCATAATAGTATCTGTCAGATTGCTAGGTTATCGGTTTTATAAAAAGTTTTGTTTAAAAAGCAGGCACTAATGAAAGTCACATGTGAAAGACTATGGTCTTCCGCATGGAACCTTAGATTTTTCAGGGTAAAATAATCTGTATTCTTAACGTAATGGATTAACTTTTCTTTCTTAACACGGGGAACTTGAGGTTTAGTAAAAAAGAATTAATAATTTATTCGATAAAAGATATAAAGACTAAAGATTTGGTTGTTCGTTTGCTTTGATTAGCTAGTACGAAATTGAAAGTTCTTTCACCTACGAAAGGGAAGCTACATACGCGGGTGGCACGCAATAATTTAACGTTATTAGGCAATATAAATTTTGGGCACTTTGGTTTTTGCTTCATTAAGGAGAAGATCGTCAATGGAATTACCCACACAAATCAACGGTTTTCTTTTTATTTAGCTGATTAAAAGATTACATTATATCTTTAAAATCAATGTATTGAAACCTAAATTATCTAAATCAATTATTTAAATTTGCTTTTAAAATAGATACAGCTACAGTGGAAGAGGAATTCAAATTGTGTAATTAATTTCAGTAAATAAATTTTTAAATACTGTAGCACCTACAAGATCTGATGTTACTTTTTAACTACCAATATTTAAATTAAAATTAGTATTCTCGGTTTTTCTTTTCCGATTTCACTGTTTATGATATTCCAAGTTTTTTACTATTTTTCAATTTTGCATTTTAATAATTGCATTTTGCTAAACGACAACTTGTGTGTGTGTCGTATGTCTCAGATACCCAGACGGTGATCTTTTTTGACAACTAATTAAAAGCACTACTTTTATTATCTGAAATACGGAAAGTAAGTCACTATCACACAACATTAATTCATCATTATAAAGTTAACTATAAGTTCTGTAATCTTAAGTGGTCAATAATTACGTAAGCTGTGGCCTTGACCGACTGAAACACTCGAACCGAGTCGTTAAAAAATGGAGTAAAAATTGTAGTCTAACACATTAATTAAAACGCTTCTGTTACTCAAATTTTATTTGCTTGTTATAATGCCAATTGTAAGCATTTTGAGTAATTTCAGAGTTTCCCAAAGTGCGATTACGAACCCCTGGTATACTCTAATTTATCTGATATGTAATCTGATGATTCGTGATTTATATAGATTTTTCGGTGAAATTTAAATGGCTTAATTATAAGGGTTAATTAGCAAATAAAAACACCATCGAACACTTCATAATATAAATTAATTATGAGATGTCCCTTTAATAATGCCACAGCGGTCGTTTTCTGTAATATTTTGTTAGTAACTCTAACCCTAATATGTTAGTGTTCCGTAATCGTATTTTATAACCATAGTGTCCCCCGGGAGTGAAATATTATGCAACAAACTACGTTAACGGATATTATAGCAATCCACAAGCTATAACTTATCGGGTCAAGTTCAATGAGACAATAATAAAAATAATTTTACGCCATTCAAAGTGACCTCCCTGTGTGTGGTGCGGTGTGGTGACCTTCGTTTTCACCCGCACGTGATTGAAGAGATGAGATTTAAGTGTTGATTGTGTTTATTTTAAAACAAAAGAAAACAACTTGCTCTTTTCCCGTATAATTGTTTTTTTATTATCAAACATGTTCCGTTATCGCTGTGTGTTGAGAAAAACTATTTTTATTTTCATATTTAATTTATTTGAAACACTTATCCGTAGATTTCAATATTTCGTCACAATAAATCAGAGCTAATGTATTTGCAATTATCTGGAGAAGTCGCCCGCGAAGGACGTTCACCGACTAAATGGTGACAGTTATAATAATGATTGTAATATGTTTATAATCGAGCTTGTACCATAGTGTTAGAAACATTATAATTAGCGTTAGTAACAATTATATATATTATGTACTGATGGGTAAATTCGTTTCGTTATAAATAGAGGAATATACCTACCTACATCTCCGGAACAACGAAGAATCTCCTTGGTTCATGAATACTCTCAGTGTTAGCACTACTTTACTGATCTGATGTAAGCATGCAGATCGGAAGCATCTTGTCTGCCTAGACTAAGCTATGCGATTCTCTAAAAATCCGAACCCGAATTCGAATTCACGTCTTTTAGTGAAGAGATTCTATTGATTCCAGTTTTTGTATTAAAACCAAATTAATTGATTATACGTGTCCCAGACAATTTTTTCCTATGTCATTTCGAAACTCATCTCACTTGTACCACGAATCGTTATTACCAATTCAAGATTGAGTGGATGCCGTTTTTTAAAGTGAATTCGAATTCGGGTTTGGATTTTAACAGAATCGCAGGGCTGAAGGTCATTATTATTCTAATGCAAACAAATATTTAAGCGGGGCTCCAATACAACGAACGTGATTTTTTCGCTCCTATTCGGTACGGAACCCTACATGCGCGAGCCCAACTCGCACTTTGCCGATTTTGTTTTCATTTAAATATTTTAATGCAATTGGAAAATAAACTTATTATATCTATCTATGATACCCACGGAGGCCAACAATATTATAATACTGACCATTGATGGCGCTGGACAATATTTTTTTAAGATACCCAAAATTATCAGCCGTAAACGTTCCATATGCACTGCATTGTCAGCACAAGTATTACATCACCCTGTGCATGCAGCGATTGATAAATGTTGAGGAAGCGAAAGATCTGTATCAGGTCAGGGACCTTTGCAACTGAATGTCAATTGTATGTTACCGCGTAGAAATAGACGTAATTTATATTCATGTATGCTTATTATGTCAAAGTGTAGAATTACTATATTTGCTTAGATAAAGATAGTTACTAGTTTCTTTTTATTGAAAATATTAGTCCAACGAATATATACAGATGGATTTACCAGGATTTAAACCTCTTTGTCTGTTATACTTTCACAAACAGCCTAGTCTATCGTTCATCTTAAAAATACACCTATTATTGGCATCTGTAAAAGGCTAGTGACCAAGTAGTTTTAGTATCTAGATTACACTTGAGGAGTTCGATAGTGCAGTGGTTAGTGCGTTCGGTGTGCGTTACGGAAGTTAAGCAACTTTCGCAAGGGCTGATCCAGGATGGGTGAACCAATATTTTTTTAAATTATTTATTCAATTGCAAACTTAGAAATCCAATACACAAATATCAGTTAATAATATTCACGTGCCCTTGATAGGCATGGCAATGTAGAAAGATGGAAAGATGAGGGTCAGATCAGACATTACATTTTATCTAAAAAAAACCATTCAAATATTCATTCACTGTGTAACATTAATTTAAAAGGATATTTTTAGCACCTTTTTAAATGGAGTATAATGTTTTTTCTTTTGGAATATGTATTAAAAGGTTAGGGGTATACTTAAATTTCTAAAATGAGCTTTGCAATTAATTATGTCGATTCCCTCCGTGCTTCGGAAGGCATGTTAAGCCTTCGGCTGCATCTGCTGTCCTTAACACCCACGAATCCGCACTCGGACTCATAAGCTCTTTAAGGCCTGTGTCCCAGCATTGGAGAGATCAATAGGCCGGTTATGAATTTTCTGACCATCGGTTCTGAATATTGGTTTCCTTCGTCATGATCATTGCAAAATAGTAAAGTAATGTAACCAACGATTTATTATGAACGTATTCGTTTTCTATTTCAAAAGGCTAAATATAACGTTACAAAACTTCTGACCTTTACCGTATTGAACCGGTCGGATGACAAACCTATTAATTTCTATCCGTGAATATAAAAGTAATTAAAACATAATTTTTAATCACATTACCGTAATAAAACTTTTCCATGTGTTTAGTTTTATCATAGTAAAAATCCGCCCAGATTAGTTCCCGAACCGAGCGAGCATGTAAACCGCGGATATTTAATTACACACATTACCTATAGTTAATAGCGTTATCGTAATTGTATAAATACTTATTTATATTGTTGTTTAACATTACATTTTATCGCTTCGTAACCGTTTTTGATATGACGAATTGACGACCCGTTTTTTTTTTTTAATTACTGGATATTATTCTTTTTTATTTTTCCTTAGATAGATATCATCATTATGTCATCCGATTAATAAACATTCGCTAATGAAGTTTACTTATAATACGCTGTTTTCCCGCGATTTTGCCGGCGTAAATTATGTCCCACGTCACCCGAGTTACCCGCGTTTTCAAAATATGAGTCATCATCATCAGTCCTTTTACGTCCCCACTGCAGGGGCTCAGGCTTTCCTTATGGATGGTTAAGGAGGATGGGTCATGACCCTCCACGCTGGCCCAATGCGGATTGGAAGGTATTAACGACTGTAGATGCAGCCGGGATATTAACGACTGCAGATGCAGCCGGGACCAACGGTTTAACGTGCCTTCCGAAGCACGGAGTAACTCGAGATAATAATTTTTTGGTCACCCATCCCGTGACCGACCCTTGCGAAAGTTGCTTAACGACAACGATCGCGAGCCGCGTCACATATCCACTACGCCACCGAGCTACTAAAAAAATGACTATGAACTTTATTCGACCTGGTGGGCCAACAACAGGCGCCAACCCGCTCAGGGGCGTCATTAAGCTTTGACATTCATTTTTAAAATGTACACATTCTTGTTCCAGATCTAGTCCATTGCACAAACGAGCCGAACGTTTCAATACCACAGCTGGCCAATTTGCTGGTAGAACGGACGCAGAACACCAACTGGGTGGTCGTCTACAAAGCACTCATCACCGTGCACCATCTATTAGCGTATGGAAATGAGGTAATAATTCAATACCATTACATTAGCATCATCATCACCCTTTTGACGTCCCCACTGTTGAGGCACAGGACTTCCCTATAATCGAATCAAATAGGGAGAGTGGGTTCTGACTCACCACGTGAGTCCAGTGAGGGGATTGGTGGGTTCTAACGACTGCAGATGTAACCGCGACCAACTGCTTAACGTGCCTTCCGAAGCACAGTGAAGCTCGGCATTAGAAATTTTTGGTTACCCATCCTGTGACCGGTCATTGCGAAAGTTGCTTCGTTTCATTTCATTTTGACTGCCCTTACCGCTGCTCCATCAAGCTCCTCTACAGTTTAATTTTATTTTATTACTTTGCCCATTTCTTCTGTTATATATAACTGGAAACGCTCCAAGTGCAGTGTAAGTAAACCGAGTATTCAGCCTTCAATTACTCGATTTAGAGCCGTTTTTTGAATTGAGAAAAATACAAAAGATTAACTGATTGTTCTCGATGACATAAGTTTTTTTACGTTTTACAAGTCAAAGAGTCCTAGTTTTATTAAGCTGCTATCGACTGATCATAGAAAAAACTAAAATCGGGACGAAAACCGATTTAAGTACAAGTTGAGACGTCCTTAACTTTAAATTCTAAATTCAGAAACCGAACGTCACTGTGTAACTTTGAAACGTGTAAACCACTACTTTAACTAGCGAATATTTTGTGTTAATCGATATTATAAAAGTGTAATAACATAACCCATAAATACCTGATACATACATACGCGAACCTTTATGGTTTAATTTCTGCTACAATTTAAATATTTGATTATTCTACAGACAAAAATACGTACACTAACGATTGTATTTCTAACAAGGAACTTATAAACAACCACTTTTGAATTACACATTCCTTTGTTAAGGTTATATTAATGTAACTAACGGTCAGTTGTATATTTGAATTTAAGTCATTTTAATGAACGTTTGTGCAATTGGTGTGCAACACAAATTTATAAATTGCTTATTAGTAAAGCCTTTAGTAAACATATTGAAAAAATCTAACTTGTAATTTAATTGTTATAAGAAATATTGTCATCATAAACACAATTTGTAATGTAAGAAGCATGGAATAATGTAAGTAGGCCGCATGTAACAATAGAATGAAGTCTCGCAAAAAATCCCACGCACTATTCACTATAGAATACCAACAATAAGGTGTAATCAAATATCAGAGGATATCACGCCTATCTAGATTCGCAATTAATAAGAAAATATTTATAGTCAATTATTAGTTTCCAAGATTCATGACAGAGTTTCATCCGCTTTGATTCTGCTAGTTACACATATTCACCACACACTCGACAGATTTTTCATGTCCTGACTATATTGCGGATCACTTATAAACATATTACGATTATGAACCTACGCTAATAATTAGAAAGCAATTATTACAAAATACAGAATGCGAAAAGTTTGAATACTAAAGAATTCTGAAACCTGTCGGTGTTTCGTGTCTAAGCGTAACTTTTTATCACCGAGGAAGACAAGTCCAAATGTCCAATTCATAAAGGTTTGATGCAACCAATTTGAACAAACAAAATTTGACTTTAAGTGCTATCATTAAAGTTCAATTGTATTGCCATATCAAAAAGCTTATATCCCATCATAAAATTCTTTATAGTTATTATTAGCATGTAAGTTTATTCTTTAAAAAATTCACTCTTACTTAAATAGTTACTATTTAAGTAAGAGTGAATTTTTTGATATTTTTTGATAGATGACCATCAATAAAAAAGGAAAGTTTCAAATTCATAATTCGAATAATGTTGCCGTTTCCTCAAAAATGTCTCTATAACCACGAGAGTGCTGATAATAAAAAAAAATAAATTCAAGCTTGCAAGAATCACCGGAAACAAGAATGTCCTTATCGAATCGCACTGTTTAACGATCAAGGCGTATCGGGTAGGTACGGCAATTAATATTGGCGTTCCAATGTCCTGCGCGATTGACTACAGTGTAGATAATAGGTTTTCAGTGAATTTTCTTTCACTAAAATCACCATATTGCAAATCTTTACATCCCCAGCACAAACTCAAAATCCCCTCGAACATCATAGTGTGTGGTATCAAGGCTGAATTCTATCAAAATTACCTATACCAATACATTACGTTACCTATACTGAAGACCTAATTTTTTGTGTTTTTGTCGTCTAACTACTGCCAGTGATTTTCTTCTCAGTCATTTCACAACACTGGCTGCAAATTTAGATTCCCACACCTTATTGTGTGTCCAGTTACACTGTAATCAGAAACCGAGAGTGCAAAGTGCCAACCACGTGGCGAGACTAGGATTGCACATTTGTGAAAAATGCTTTGATCGATGGGGCCTTTGTGGAGGTATTTTATCTCGTTCCAACAAGTGGACTAATACAACAGTACCATTTTCATATTCGATTGTACTTACACTATAATATTTATTAGTGCCATAATATAATTTTACACCAATACATGAATGGCCTGCTATATCTGTATAGTACACGAAGACGAATTTAATACATGACATACTACAAATAAAATGTTGCTATTGCAACCACTTGTGTCAATAAAGGTATACTATGTATCTATCTTGTAATAATGTCGATCGGGGCGTCCTACGTTTGGGTAGTAAAGAGATTCTCGATCATTCGTTCCTTGTATATCAGTGTGTTTATTCCACTCGAATTGTTCTCTATTGCTTCTACCTTCCGTATTGCTTTGAGAATCATTCATAAAATAGGGATCTTTGTGTAACATTTCTTACTTCATATATCTAACTAAATAAATAAGTAGGTAATTCGGTGAGTGTCATACGACGTCAACGGAAATTATTATGTCATAAGAATGATCGAAATTAATGATCTGAACGCACATCATGCTGTTAATGGTAGATCAGATGGCGCAAGACTTAATGTAATAGTTTTGAAAGAAAACTACCTTTATATAAATTTGAATCGACGTGAATTATGTTTTAACGTGTTTTATGAATCAGTAGATAGTATGACCAAGCTAAAAATCACTAAAAAGTATAAAATAAACCTTTAAAATAAAAATAAGCATGGCTTAACAAAATTGTCGTTGCAGTCGTTTTATGGAACATTTGCTCCTCCTAATGCAATGAGAATTTCATTTAGCCAAGTTGACGTTTATCACCCGACTGCGCGACGCAAAGGAAGGTAATGTGTTTATCGGTCTATGTATGTATGTTTGTTTCTATGTGGTGTTCTAGAGACCAAATGCGTAGGCAGATTTTGATAATTCTTACGTCAATCGATACGTCTTAACCTTGCGAGTGTCACTAAAGACATGAGAGTAATCAAAATTCACCACAGCGACAACCAGACGCCATATTGTCAAAATGAAAAAAAAATCAAGTGAGGTGTTAGTTTTTGTTTAAGTTAATTTTTTCATGTAATTTTTAAAATTCGTTTTAACTCAGTCGGGGGTTTTTTATATTATTTTTATACTTTTTGCAGTGATTTTTTTGGGTCGGGGATTTTAAAAGTTTTATTTTTATATTTTATTTCATACTTTTTAGATTTTTTATACTAATGATTTAAAAAAAGTAGCTACTTCGTCTTCGTCCATGAAGCCTTCTAAATGAGTTTAAACACAATATATCTACTGTTAGTTTTCTAGGAGTTAAGTACTCTACAGTCTATCATGGCTGCAGCATCAGGTCAAGTTTACCATATTATTATTGTGTTATTTGATTTGCTATATGTATCAAGTTTCAACTCGATCAGTGCAGTAGAAGTGTACTAAATGAAGTGTGTGTATCCCACAGACAGACACACATACATACACCCGTGTCAAACTTATAACACCCCTCTTTTTGCGAGGGTTAAAAACTAAAAGCTGTAGTCTCTTGCGTCCATTTAGTTTTCCCTAGTTATTTTTAGGACTTCTCGGTATTTTTGGGATCTTTTCATTTAGGTAATGGCGGGATTCGGTATGATAATAATCGTTGATAATTATAAAATATTACACAAACTCTTTTTGTAGCTTAGAACTTGTTATTATAGGGGAATCATCTTGAAACAACTATCAAATATGGTTTTTCTGATTAAAACATCAATAGCTGCCAGTAATTACGAATAATAATAAAAAAAAAATATCATGATAACTACGAACCCTAGATAATATTCAGAATTTCTTTATTATTCTATAGAATATATCTTTAAATTATTATTATATTTGTTAGCTCAAATGTTAAATACTCACCAAGGTCTAGCAAAACCAGGCCATTGGCAAAGGTCTAATGAGATTGACAAAGAAGATAAATTTGTGTCTCGTCGTTCTATGTCCATATTTGTATCGTTGTAAAGTCTCGTTCAACAAAACTTGCAAGTGATTGTGTTAATAATCCATATTATGGGATTCCAGTAGATAAATTTCCGGACATTTTTTTCATTCACCCATTGGCATCGAAGCTGCATTTTCTATAATGATAATTACGGGTCAATAGAGTTTAATAAATATTAAAAGTATAGGCATTGCATGTTGATTTGTGTAGAGAAATAGCTAATATATAATGTGCTCACTCTTAGAATATTCAGTATTTGCAAGTTCCTGTTCTTGCTCGGCATAAGTATACATGTGCAGGATAGTGACTATACTTTATACATATGACCCTTGAGATTCCTTATTCTTCTTACTTCTAGGATTAATGTATATTTTCAATTAAAAATGTATAAAATGCTTTCGGAGGTGGTAATAAAACATTTTCCACTAAAGTGGTACATTAAAAAAATAATGTAATCGTTACGCATAATTCTTTACGTGTTACATACATATTAGTAAACCTATCGGACTTTTATATGAAATGTAAATAAATCTTCTGTCAATGTTTGTGTAACACTATCGTAAGAGTATGAATCCGTATTATGTACCTATTTATTAGGTCATTGACAACTACTTTGAATACTTTATTAACGTGTCTATTCTTGGATTGTATAATTGTCTAATATGTAATACGAAGTATGGTATTGGAAAACTCACTGTCACAATAATTTGTAATTTTGTACTTACCGTGTTGTCATATAGTAATGTTCCCTGAAAATTTTAAATTGTTAAATAATGAAAAAACAGTATCTTAATAATTACCTAAAGAAAAAAATAATAATTTCAAATTGACTGGTTAAGATGTCACAGAGGCATGCCAGACTGTTGGGACGTGTGGTGAGAGCGAATGACAAAATGTGATATACATAGCTAGATTGGAAGGATGTAGACACCACGGATGAAGGCCAAGACACATCTTTCACGAGCAAATCGATCGCGTGCTGTTGGAAGGTGGTGTAACGAAGCCATAAACACCGACGAACATGTATGAAAAGAGTAGTGAAAGTGGGAGAGGAAAGATGTATGTAAGGACTTTAGAGCTTGGGATGTTCAGTCCTCTGCCTACTCCGCAAGGGAGATCCCTTGCGGAGTAGCGTAACGTGAAGATATAGATAGTTTATATGGACTTCAACATAAAATCAAATAATTTACTTTGTTCATATCGATATAAAGTTTTTTAATAAGAAATTATTGATATTTTGATGATATTTGATCTTTCCAGCCACGAATCCGACCCAATACCCAGTTCATAAAGTAATTGTTTCTGTTTTCTATTTCAGAGATTCACACAATACTTAGCGTCGAGTAATTCAACATTTCAACTAAGTAATTTCTTAGACAAAAGTGGAGTACAAGGTATGTATCCTATTATATCATGATAACGACAGTTTAATAGAATGACATTTAAATAGTGCTGCAAATTATTGCTTTAAAAAACCTGAGAATATGGACGGTACGTTGCAATAATTATAATTAGTAGAAGTCCTTTTTAGTTTTTAATATCTAAAATAAATAAGAATACCGGATCACATATACACATACAAGATAAACAAAGCCCTGTGGTAACCTATCACACGCTGTATACATTAGTATACACTGCGCAGAAACCATTGAATATTAAAAATAATAAAAAAACTACAAAAAAACCTATTAAAAAAATAAAAAGAATACTAATCTATATCTATCCGGTTAATATTAACTTACCTGGTGGAACATTTTAGGATTACTTTTGTACTGCACGTATTTCAAATGTCATAAGTTTCTTCCGTTACTTAGTTACTGAAATTGCGAGCCTTTTTAGAAACTTTCAATGCAATTTATAAATATACATGATCTAAAAATCTTCCCCCTTATTATAAAAATATTTTACAAAATAAGCATGCGCTAAAATTGCGGATATCCGAACAAATTTTACGGATATGGAACTAGTAACAGTAATTACCTACGGTAATCTAATGAAGAGTTCATAAATAGAGCTGTTAACATTACTACACCATGTCGGAATAACCAAATAGGTATAGAGGTATGCTTTTATGGTAATGAATATACATAAGTAGTTGCTGAGCAGGACAAATCATTTATTATATTCTATAAGTGTATATATGGAATAATAATTGTACTTAATGGTTTAGTCTTATTAAGTACTAGCTATTTTCCCGCGACTTCGTCCTGGAAAAACCGGTCCAGTTATTTCGGAGCCTATTCATCACCAGCCCTTTTACGTCCCCACTGCAGGGGCTCAGGCATTCCTTATGGATGGTTAAGGAGGATGGGCCATGACCCTCCACGCTGGCCCAATGCGGATTGGAGGGTATTAACGACTGCATATGCAGCCGGGACCAACGACTTAACGTGCCTTCCGAAGCACGGAGTAGCTCGAGATAATAATTTTTTGGTCACCCACCCCGTGACCGACCCTTGCGAAAGTTGCTTAACGACTACGATCGCGGGCCGCGGCGCTTAACCACTACGCCACCGAGCTACTCGATGAGCCTATTCGATGCAAACAAACTGTCAAATCTTTCCTCTTTATAATATTAGCATAAATTTACACAAGGCTTGATTTTAACATTTTGCAAATTCAATGAAAAACAATTCAAAGAGAATTATTGCTATATTAATTGTATTAATAAATGGCAATTGAAACACTCAATTTAACGTTATGAATGTGAATTGTGAATGAACTGTCAAACATTTCATTCCGCTAATTTAAAAATAAACTTAGTAGTTTGGTTATTTATCTTTTTTTTGTATTTGATTTTAAAAATAACATGCGTGAAATAGCTTCATCTTAAACTAATATATCCATTTTACTAAAACACAATAAAATGTCAACACCTAGCCTTTTTTCATTTGTTATATTGTTATTTAGCTTTAAGCTCAGACTGACGTGTTACTATGTTAACAGTAGTATAAAACATCTAAGCAACAATCACCTTAAATTTAAAAGGGATAGAGTCCATTGTGTAATAATGCTATCTCCAAAATGAAGTCACCATTACTAGACAAAGCTGCTGCCAAACTATGTTGGCGCCGACCTACTATTCTGTACATAAAATATATGTTTGTACGTCTTATGTGATATGTATGGAGTGTATTTTTTATATTACTTGCCAGTATTTTAATTGAATAGTTTAAATGTTATTGATGTCTATTTTTCAATGATTTGAACGTCCGTACTTAACGAAATTAATGTCACTTTTACTTCAGTTCTTGTAATGGAGAACTTATTTATTTTTAACAATACAAAGTAAATACAATTTTTAATAACGTCAAATTGCTATCAATTGCTGTTCCTAAGATACATGATATTATGTTATTCACAAAAGGACGTACATCGGATTTTCTTATAGGGGTAATAATTTATTTTGGTTAATATCATTAATCAGGTTTCTGCTCAAACTACCGGTTAATTTCGCTCGTATATTTTGGATACGCCTCCGCCCATTAGAGTAGTTTTCTCCTGTCTGTGTCTTCTATGGCGCCATTTTATGTTAGCGAAAAGGGTTAATCCCCATGTCTGAAATGCTCGCGAAACAATTTCATTAGAGCGAGCATTTTCGAAAACCTTATTTGATAATATTTATTAACCGGCATTTTTCGTGAATGGTTCGAATATTAAACCTATTGTATGTGATCCCGTTGGAATCACTGAACGAGATTTAACAATTAAAAGGTCGTCATTGATTCGACGTTTTATGATTATACATAGAGTAAACTAGTTTTTCAACACAATCAACGGCAAAACGATCCGATATATTATACAGTACAGTAGACATCGAATGATATCCATACATTATCGAATATTGTTGAGCTGGCGTAATTACTTCCTAGCGACAGATTGTAACGTAATACGAACATGAGACTACGTATACGCGAGTTGGTTCAGTAGGCACATACAAGCATTGACCGTTGACCTTTGGGTTCGATGACTCCACACGTCCTCGTCCTGGTCGCTGAGATTTGTATGTGCTCGGACGCACGTTTTTTTTTTTATAATCCGCAATAGCTCGTAAATGTTGCCGAATGGAATAAACTTCCATTTGCGAAATGAAAAAGGTTTATTTACCGTTAACATGAAAGGTAAATTAATTACACTCTTTTAAACATAACGACGCACCCTAAAAGATGTCGCTGGTGTATTGAATTGATTCATAAAAGAATATACTGGTCGGTACCCATTTAATTATAATCAATGCTCGGTATACTTATTGTATGTATTTCTGCAAATCAGAAAAAGGAAATTAGGTCCTTGGCGAATATTCTGTACAAATCTATCTACATAATATTACTGGAAAAGTTGGCGAGTTTATAATTTAGATACCAGTTTTAAGACTACGACGCAGCCGGGGATTTGCAACAAGAAGGGACCAGAACTTTCTTTCGCCGCTCTCATTCCGAAACAACGAGTGCCATTGTAACGTTATCGACCTTGCCAACTTATTTAACTGGGATTGTAAATAGAATAAGTTAGTGCCGCCAAAGATGGCCCGCAGTTTTGATCTCTCGTTTGCTAATAAAACAACCAAACATGTTTAAATTACAGGCCTGTATTCCTATCGGTCAGTTGACCGCAGGACTACAGTGGAAATTTATTGTTTTTTTTTTAGCATACAAAGGTTAAAAACGGTGGACCTCCTGACTCACAAATGGTAAATATTAGGGTAGGCGGCCCTCTTGTCGGCTGTCTGTTTCGAGCCCGCCAATATAGTGCCAACATAATTGAGGTACTTACCAAACACAATGACTTATAGACTAGCTTAATCATATAGTCTAATTCAAGAGCAGTTTTATTAATACCCGCGTTTATATAATCCTGATAAAATTGGTATGAGGACTATTTAAGAATACTTTTCTTTATAAGAAATGACATCATTACGTTGAAACACAGATATTAAACTTTTATTATTATTAAAAAAATAATGTGCAAACAGGAGTGTATATTGTGATTGATTAAAAATGTTAACTACATCATGAATTTCATGACTTAATGCTAATTTACTCGTATATAATTTTTATTTTGCCTGCGGCTTTGCCCGCATGGTTTACAGCGTGTTAATTCATCATCAACCCATATTCGTCCACTGCTGGACATAGGCCTCCCCAATTGTACGCCATCTACTTCGATTCTCGGCTGTTCGCATCCAGCTCCTGCCAGCCGTGTTAATTCGATGGTACTTTATTCTAGGGGACAATTAAATGAAATAAAATGTAGCCTATATGTTCTTCCAGACTTAGAAAGAGCCATATGGCAAATTTTATAAAAATCCGTTCAGTTGTTTCTGCGTGAAAGAAAAACAAACACATACATCCACCCTACAAACTTTCGAATTTATAATATCATTTTTTTTTAATTCATGAAAAAGTCCGTATTAGCAAAATTAATTTGCAGCATTATTTAATCTTTATATCGTTACAATAAAAATTGATTATCATAACGATTAAATTTTATAGATAAGATTTTTAATTATTCTTCGATCTTTCTATCAAAAAGGCATATTTTGTATATAAATAAGTTATTTTTTCAATTTTGGGTTGTTATTGTCTACGAAAACCAGTTTAGGTAATTATGCTTTTATCAGATTTACGAAGACACTACATTTTAAATTACTTTTTTAATAATCGACTCGACCAATTTTGATAAATACACAATAAATACAGGTATATTTTTAGAATATTTTGTTCAAATATTACTATATCCTTATAATAAATATTAAACTAGCTCAACTTGGCAGCGATTTTTGCTTCATATTTAAAAGCGTAAGGCGTTTATCAAAGAACAGCTTTACTTAGTTTTTAGACGTATCAAATAATATAACTTATTATTGTTTATTCCGCTGATAAAATTTGATATAAACTATATTAGTATTTATGATAGGATTTCACTGTTTAGATTTGACAAAAATACGTATATAATTATTACCAATTGTCTTAACCTGTAGCTTAACCCTTGTTGTGTCTACTATTGATTTACTTACGCGTCGAGCCGGCCAGTTACGTGAGTCATGTCTCGTGGCATTCCCCTGATGCAAATGTGAAACTGCAGAGACGATGACGTCACTTAATTCAGTGTCCAATCTCGCACTTTATTTTGACTTTACTGTCCTATTGTAGACATAGCGGTCGTTAAACTGCTTAATAGGTTCCACTGTAGACAATGCTAGATATCGTCTTGTATTTGTTATTGTTTGATACCAATGCCGAGAATATTATTTTAATTTAATAAAAATGTTTTTCGTATACATTAATATACTGCTTGAACTGAAATAAACGATTATTCGCAGTTTTGGTGCAGTGTTAGCTTGAAAAGTGAATAATACATATTTAAGTTCACCAATGTTAAGACATATTTAACTATTAATAGGTTTGCATTTTCGTCCATTTATGTAGAAAGCGGGCTATTCTATTGTATTTATAGTAGCACTTTAAACATGTCTAGTGACTGTTTAAATAGTTCTATTACATTCTAATAAACATGTTAGTAAATAACAGGCGAAATATAGGCCTTAAAATAATTTATCTTATTTTATAAAATACTGGCCCTTGACCACGACTTCGCCCGCGTGGTCTAGTTTTAAGTTCAGAAATGAGAAAATTCCATAAAAACTTTCATCCCCAAATTTACCCCTTTAGAGGTGGAATTTCGTAAAATCTTAGTCTTAGTGAGTAAGTTTTAGTGAGCACCTACGTCCTAAAAAGAATCCGCAAGCAAAATTTGAAACTCCTAGCACTTGTAGTAACGAAGTTTTATACAAACTTTCATCTCTTCTCACTCTTCGGGGTGGAATTTTCAAAAATCCTCTCTTAGTGCTTCCCTACACTCCCTAAGGAATCTTCATTCCAAACTTCAACTTTCTACACTCGGTAGTTTCGGCTGCACATTGTCTGTCAGTCAGTCAGACACTCAGTAACGCAATAATTTTATATACCTATGTAGTTTTTATATATAGATATTATTTAATTATAAAGAGTATGTACATGATGCACCGATATAATGAAATCGTCCTTTACTGTCATAAGAGTCGTTAAACTGTGAGTTAAACAAGTACGCCCCGTCTGGCATCTTAGTAGAAGTGATTCTTTTAACTTATGTCATAATATGATTGATAAGAACTTTACTGTCTCTGTCGGTTACGTTTCAGGGAGTCGGGTAGGCATCTTGAGCGATCAAATCAATCGTCGGTACCGTGCCATCTATAATGTGTTGAAGACTGATATGTGTATACCACGATTATAATAATATATTTGAGTAAAACTAATCAAACGAATACGAATATAAATAAAAGTACAGCACAGAGTCGTTTAGTCGTGTAGTTAATTTTAGTGCCAAAAATGTTTTAGTTTTAGCAATTAATATTAGGAGCAGCTCACACTCCGTATTCTTCGACCGGTTCTCCTCAATACATAATTGATAAACCACAATGCTTTCTCAGCACGTAATCCTTGCGTAACACATCAGGCATCTCTACGGGTGCAATAATCAATGAGCTGTGAATACTTAGTGAGTAAATCCTTATTTGGTTCAAGGTTACAATATTTTTTAAATCATGAAACTTTAGGAAAACATTCGTCGTTTTTTTTATAATATAAAACTATCGTATGATAATCTAAAGTATTTAGTATTTATATTATCAAAATAAAATATATATTTTTTTCAATAGTCTATGATCACTTTAGGCTGTAGTGACACTTCAATTGAAAAGGAGATATAACATCCTAGTGTACCGTTTGTTAGTAAAACCTTGGTATTAAGAATGTAATTAAAATATTAACGGCTTTTATTGTACAAATAAAAAATATGCTCTAATGATGTGAACTGCATTACTGGCTTCCGTAGACAATGGCATAAATCAAAATAGTTACGAAGAGTCTTATACATACCTGCATCTTGAGAATCTTAAGTCCTCATCACGATAACTCTATAAACAACGAATGTCTTATTACAATTCTTTAATGATTATTCTACAATAAGTGAGCACCAGTTGATTTATTTCTCGTTTCCTATTGCTTACCGAAAGGAGCGGCCGGTGCCAGGATTGGTGAGTGAACAAACTGAGCTTGGTGTGTCTTGTATGTAGTGTCGTACACGCACGCTTGGAGATTTGGGTGCAAACTTTTTTGAGATTCGCACGAACACGAGCTTTTTGTGCTTTTGACGTCCTGAACTGTGAAGTGACTTATCTGTGTGTGGGATTTTGGAGTGAAAGGTGTATTTAAGTAGTCCGCTTTGATGTATAGGTTTATTTAAACCTTTGTTATTGGATGTTCTTTTCGAACCACATATTTATAATGAAATTTATGCTCTGCAATGCATAGTTGTTAGATAAATTTATAACAGGGATGATGACTGGATAAAAAAGCAATGAGGTAGTATTTAAAAAAAACACGAAAGCACTTAAAAAGCACCTCCACTAGATTACGACTCTAGTAAAAGTTGAATTTTGCAGAAAACGAATGCAGCAAAGACATTAATTTCTGTTCCTTTTAACTAACATATTCAAAAACAGAAATTTTAAAAGTTCGTGACTCAGATATCAATAAAATACGAAAAAGTGCAAATAGAATATGAGTTGTTTATTGAGTTTTGAAAACTAATTTACTTTTAACATGAAAGAAAACCCGAAGTGTTGTCATGGAGAAATCAAGAACGTACCGTAGCGACATCTACATAAAAAAAACATTAGTTTTTTTTAAATACGTCCTCTTTATATTGAGTCCTTCATTGAGATAATAGAATAATATTGGATATATTTTTTTTTTTGCTTCAATGTAACAAGAAATCATTATCCCTATTCTTATATTTTGTTTGGACAAATACGCATTCAAGAGCCAGAAAATCTATTGAATGTGTGTCCTCTGTGTATTTTCAGTTACATTAAGACCATGTTTAACTGGTAAAAGCCCTTAAAAATGACTGTCATTTTACGAAAGTTAATTGTAATTTACATACAAATTCATTATTATTACATTTTTAATTAAAATATTTATCTTGGCTTTTGCTGTAATCTTGTCCAACTCAAGTCTCATGAACCCATCTACTTTGCACTTATGGAATGTACTTCAGTATAAGTACAAACTATTTGTACAGGTTTATGTAAATACAATGAGCAACGCCTAAGATATATTTTAATAATGTCATTATAGTAATTTACCCTATTATAAAAGGTAAAATTACGATACTTATTCCTTTATTATAGGCGTATATATACTCGCAGTATCGTTTCTAGGATATGGTATGACGAGGAAACAGGATACAGAGGATTTTGGTTAGCTTTGACAGTTTTTTTTATTTTTCATTTATACATTTTTCACTTTTTGTTATATTTTACGTGAAACATTGTTTCATTTGACTACTGGTTTTGGATTGGACAATAGATTTTTTAAATTCATTTATGGATTGTCCCAGTGCCTGGAAGAAAAATATTAAAATTAAATCACTTCGGCAACTAGGACAGCGGTTCGAGTTTTTGCGGTCCCTGTAGCCGGAAACCTCAGTAGATCACTTAGAGACATTCGCAAACGTCAGTTCCGTATAGATGACATACCAACTTGACAGTCAGTTCCGTGACTATCAAAAATAAACTAGATTGGTCACTGACACCAAACGCCAATAACACTGGCAAAATAATGTCGTATACTTATAATGCACTCTACATAAAACATGGTCCTAAATAACTTTTTTTTTTGTTCGTGTTGATGGTTTATTGTACTTTGCCTTTCATTTGTTTATTTTTATTGAATTTCATTATTTCAGAATCAGTAATTATAATGACTCATGTTGAAAACCCTATTAATTGTTTATTCTGATAACATAACAGTTATTTTTATAGCGTAATTTATTCTTATCATATTATACAGTGTAGGTAGATACTGCACTCTTACTAACTACTTGTGCATTTTTTTTATTATGCATTAATCGAGTAGTTAGATAGCACTGCACGATTTAATTTATTATATTTTTGAAAGCTTATTATTTTAAAGAGATTTAGTATAATCTCTAAATTTGAATATTGTAATTTAAATTCATATAAAAAGAATATCGTACTTTTTTATTTATTAGATAAAGTGCAGAACGAACAAATTTTGCGTAAAGGCGAGACCACATTTATGGCATATTCAACACCCTGGATACCACGTCGCGTACTTAATAAACGCTACGAAGCCGACGGATTTTGAGTATAGTAAACTATTTGATACTACTACAACGGTAATGGATGCTATTAATGTCAAGTTTCCACCGGTTGTGGTGCGTTGAATATGACAGAAGTGTGCTTTAAAGCTGCCTTAACAAATGTTTGAAATAAGAAGTATTCATTAATTTTGAACAGGATATGATATGTCACCATTCATCCGGCGCTATGCCAAGTACCTCAATGAGAAAGCACTGTCATACAGGACGGTCGCCTTCGATTTTTGCAAAGTGAAGAGGGGGTGAGTATTGTTGTTATTAAACATATTATATTTTATTTAGTTTCATCGCCGTACAACCTACCTTTTCATCTAGGTGGATATTTATCAATCTATTTTTAAAGTAAAAGTGTATAAATATAACTTAGCAACTAAACAAAATCATTACCATTTTTTTATATAAATAAAGTAAAACTGTTTGCCGACACAAAATATTTTGTTATAATCAGTGACCATTTACTTTACAATTAATGAGAACACAACATTAGAATAAGACGCACTAGTAATATTGCTATCAATATAAAGTCTCGAACAATAAATAAAACTTTGAATTTTTAACTTCGACAGCAAGGAAGAAGGCTCTCTTCGCATGATGAATGTAGAGAAACTTCTGAAGACACTGCCAGTTCTGCAAGCGCAGTTGGACGCGCTACTGGAGTTTGATTGCACAGCTAACGACCTCACCAATGGGGTCATTAATATGTGCTTTATGTTGCTATTCCGAGATCTCATCAGGTACCTATTCGTCAGCCGTTCGCTTATCACTTGTATTTTTGACACATAGATTTCTAAATCTTTGACAACTCTTATGTTAAGTTGCACCAAATTTTAATTCAATATTAACATTATACGATTTAATCATCATATTAAAAAATATCGGATAATCTTGCATTGTCATTCTTTTTTTGAATGATTGATATTTTTTTTTAAAAGAGTTGGTCCTAGTATTTCCCTTTGGAGTACGCTAATCCTTTTGTTTATATAGGAGTAAAATAAGCTCTTTTTATAATAAATATAATTTATCATATATTCTATATACCGCATTATTATTATATGTTATATTATTTCTTTGTCGTTTTTCTACAGATTGTTTGCATGTTACAACGACGGCATCATTAATCTGCTAGAAAAATTCTTTGATATGAACAAGAAGAACTGCCGCGAGGCTCTCGATCTCTATAAGAAATTCCTCATCAGGATGGATAGGGTCGGCGAGTTCTTAAAGGTTAAACTTTTGTTTTACTATACGGATTCCTTAGATAGATCATAACTTATCACAAGAGTCTCCGTTTATTGAAGTTTACTTATTGAAACCTTTTTAGAATGATATTGTATAATGATAAATTTATTTTCATTAGGTGGCAGAGAACGTAGGTATAGACAAAGGCGACATACCAGATTTGACCAAAGCTCCTAGCAGTCTCCTGGACGCCCTCGAGGGGCACCTGGCCACACTCGAAGGCAAGAAGGGATCCGCTGCAAACACCCCCACGCAGACTGCCAGGTAAACATGTTTTCATTATATCCATAAGTCAGTGGTCAATCCGGCTCGAAGGACCATTTATTATTATTTTCACTCTCTTTTATATATATCACGTCTTCGTAGGAAATAAATCTGAAAAAATAATTAGATTGATTTATTAGTAAATTTGTATGTATTACTTTTGGCATTAACTGTTAGGCAAACCAAAAGTATTGTCAGCCATTGACATTGAAACTCTATGATATATCATGTCTTCGTATGAAATAAATATGGAAGAATAATTAGTTTGATAACTAGAAAAACTGTTATTTTTTGCATTAACTGTTAGGCTGTATTTTAATCAAACGTATAGTCAGCGACCGCACGATAAGCGACCGTTGCGCAATTTATGGCATTTCCATTCATAATAATTATTTAATTGTCAATTCACGGTTTTTAGTTCTACGTCACAACGCAGCGCATTATGAAGCTGACGTTATTGTATTCGAATGGACAGGGTTCGCGGTGATAATTATCTTGATAAATATACCTTTATAATTATAAATCACTACATAAACTCTTTTGTACTTTATGACTTGTAATTAAACAAATATCAATTATTATTTTTTTGATACAGAAAATTGTCTAGAAACTAAAAAAAAAAATTACTTTTGATTCAATGTGATTTGACAGTTAATTTCTTTGTTTATTTTGTTTGTATATTTTTTATAATTTAAAATGTCAAAAATAAAAGTTAATTCAATCATGAATGCCTTTCTGTAATAAAAAAAAATTGCCAATAACTATGGATAATTATCCATAAAAATAATTATCTTGATTATTACAAACCCTGCGAGTGGGGGCTTATTCTGTAAACTTAAATAAGTATTGTCAACACATTGTGGATAGCAAATACCGTTTTATTTCACGTTGTCACTGGGACTCACAGTGAGCCTTCAATCGACGGCAAACTTTGTTTGGTTTCTACGCAGCTTTACTAAGTTAATGTAATAAAACAGTCATTAATTTGCATAGAATCTAAATTAGTATATTCTGCTCAACTATTTTTTAATTTGATATTGATATTTATAAATTCTTCACTTCATTTTAGTGCCCAAAAGAACGTAGCGAGCGTAATGGGTGCATTATCGTCGACATCGTCGTCTTTCGGCAACGCGGCCGCCTCCACACGTCTAGATAACCAACCGAACGGCGCCTCTCCGCTGTTCATAGACGATACGCTGAAACAACAAGCGCTTGCCGAAGAGGAAGCCGCCATGAATCAATACAAGGTAACATATTAGAGGCACAAGATTACACACATATTTAATTAACACGAATTTGATCATCAGGTGGGCGACCGCAGGTCTACCGCAATCTATACTTACATACCATGACAGCTATTCATCAGCTGACACTTATTGAGATAGACATAAGATCTCTGTTCATTCGGCCACATATTGTAAGTATTTTTTTAATACAGACTAAATCAAGTCATAAGCTTAATATCTTTCAGGGTTGAGAATATGCAATGTAAATAAAGTTGAATAATTATCGGTCATAAGCTTGTATTTATGAAAATATGGTGTGGCTGTATGGACAGTACCCCTTTGTTTACGAAAAAAAAACAAGTGTCAGGCAAGGAAAATCAGATGACAATATAAATGTATTTTAGCAGTAATCTCGCATATAGGTTTCGTTCTATAAATGAATAGAAAAAGCAATAAATTTTCCTTATATAAGTAAAACAAAAATTATATAAGTAAATGTGGGCAGACTGAACTGATGATAAAGAGAGAAAACTAAAATACCATACAAATGTTCGTTGCAGACTGCCGTCTGGGCTATGGCCCTCTTGGCCGTATGGTAGATAAGGAATGCACAAAAGACTACCAAAATTTGATTAGTTTTTCAATCAGGTATCTTCGAGGTATATAATCAGGCGACTGCGTAAATTTTCATGATTAGATTAGTGTTTCCGAAGATCACCCCTACTAACAAAATGCGGAACTAGAACTCTTTATTTTAATAAAGATTTAGAATAGTGTAACAGGCGAACGTTTACAGGTGCACATGTTGCAAGGCGATGAATGGACTGGTGAAGAAGCAGTGTCAGAAATAATTGTAAGATTCTATGTGGCGGGGTTACATTCGGTTATGTATATGTATATTATCAAATGATGAATGGGAACATAAATTACGAAAAAAACAATCCAACAAAATTGCATTTCTTTAATAAGTAAAGAATACGATAAAGTACCTCGATTTGACTCTTGCGTATTGTTATTTAAAACACTAACGTCAAATACTGAATCGAAAATAATCCACCTATGACGTTATGTGAAAGTGATTATAATTATTTTATTAACACAGAATATAGATATTGAGCACATTAGATTTATCTAAAAAAAAAATTCTTTTAAATTTCTTTTTTTTTATCTTCATAATCAACCTTAAAATGATTTCAATAATTTTAAACCTTAACATGATGGTAGTTAGTACTTAATCGTTCAATGAATCTGAGAACAATTCATTGATGTGTTAATTAATTTATGTTCAATATTATAAAACTATCAGAAATGTATTCACATCCTTACTGTTGTAGAATAAAATAACATAATTTATATTCTCATTCTTCATATACTTAGGTTTGTGCTGTAATTTGTTCACAGTTCATGTATGTCTAATAAGGGGTAAAATGAAGTACTCTTATACGGGAAAAGTTTTTAATTAGTGCACAAAATTTGATATTGTGTTCGTAACTGTACATCTTTTTCTCTCTTTTCTATAACCTTCTTTTCTTAGTCGGTCCCGTTTTACACTTTTAAAAGTTGCTATTTACTCTTCCCCTCGAACCTATCAATAGGTTTTTTGAATACGCAAGATCGAACAGAACGGTATTTTATTAGTTAAAGAGCTTCGTAGATTATGTAGATTACTTTTGATTGATAAATACTGTTTTAATCAGTACAACTTCTTAAGGGGGGTGGGGGGGGGGTAATTTAAAAACTGATTTTGATACAAAGAAATAATGGGACGTTATTTGTTTGTTTATGCAGCACCTACAATAATACTTGATGAATAATTAATACAAAACCGTTACTGACTCGCAACTCCACCCAAATCTATATCGTCACGGGCGCAGTGAGACAGAAAGAGACACCCATTTGGGTACACGCCCCGTCTTAATTTGATGTTAAAGTGAAATGAGATTATATTTTTCTCCAAATAAGTGCTATTAACGATATTAAATAATACAAAAAAATTGCACTGTTAAAACATTTTTCTTGTATTACGATACTAATTATACCATAATTTGAAGCAGAACCAGTTTTGGTCGCTGCTTTTTATTTGGTGCTGTGTGTAAAGCTTTAGTTTACTTGTTGTTTGTTGGTGGTATTAAGGTCCAATATTGAATAACTGTTTTGTCCAAATTGTCTTACGTTTTTTGTGTTTAAGGTTTCTTGTAATACATATTAAGAGGTTTAAAATGTAGGATATATGTAATTATTACAATTTTAGTAATATAAATTCACAGCATTTTATAATTTTGCACGTGTATCGTTTTTAATGAGTAGCTTGAATTTATAAAACCAAATAGATCATTATAATTTATAATCCAATTTCTTCTTAAGAGAGCTATTACCTGAAAAGATATAATTATCACAAAAGATTTGTAGTTATAGTAATAAATTGTTAAATAACTAAAAGTATTTTTTTGTATTTGATACTTGTTATAAATAATTTCATTCTTATATCTCCAAAATAAGGTCGAAATCAAGTATTATGAAACTGTTTCGTGTATGACCTTATGCTTTTAAATTGACGTATAAATCGTGGACTGTACCATCATCCGTCTAACTTAGACTTGAGCGTTATCTAAACGTAGACCATAATGAAGTCCACAATTTATCGAATATTGGTATTTACGTTTGAGCTTTAAAAATTCAAATGGGCAAATAAATGGGTGAAGGTTTTCAGTCGACATGTGCGGTGCTATTATAGACCCTTCTCCTTCCAGAATAAGGTGCAATCTCCCACCAACAGTGCCGCTAACAATCCGTTCTTATCGAGCGCGCCCCCCGCCAGTCAGTCCCAGAACATAGTAGATTTATTCGGTCCAGCGCCGGCTGAACCGGCTAATACAGCAAGCAAAGTAAGTTAACATTCACTATTATCTTTTATTGATACTAGTTGTTTTTCCCGCGACTTCACCCGCGTCCCGTAGGAGAAAGAATTTTTAAAATAGGAGCATTTTTTTCGAAGCTTATATAATGCAAACAAACGTTTGAATCTTCCCTTTTTTTATAATATTAATCTAGATAAATTAAAATAAATATATTCTATACGTTAAGTCGGATTGGATGCCATCGACTTTCTTCCAGTATAGACAGAAACATTTATAGAGATTATTGTTGCTGGGAACACAATGTCTATGGATTTTTACTGTATAGTTGAACACAAAAGAGTGTTCTTTTTTACTTTATATTACCGAAGAAGCCATATTATACTCTGCAAATAATATTAGTTTAATAAAGTGTTAATGTTAAATGGTGGTTTTCCTCTCAATCCTCAAAAACACTCCGAAATGAGAATGACTATAGAAAAATGGCAATGAACAAAAGTGCTTAGGGCAGTGTTCGGTTGCTTTTTTTTATGTAAATATCTAATATTAATTGTACGAGTATAATAATGGAATTATATTTAAATATACCAACATAAAATAGTTTTCTGCTAAAAACATTTGATAAAATTGATAAAGAAAAGGTTATTGTTGCAGAAAATCACCATAAATAAAATTTAGCAAGAAAATATAAATAATACGACTTGCTAGGTATTTATTTTATGAAAAATACAATAAAAGTACAAAAAAAGACATCAAAATACACACATCAAAAGAGTTCGCAACAATTATATTCTTGAAATCTGGAAATTATTATAGATTGTAATATTTGTCCCGAAAAAAATTGGCTACCTCTGTTCTAAGTTAACGTTTTACATGATTACTATACGCCAAAGGTAAATGATTTACTTTAGGTGTTGTTACCTTTCTTATGAATACAGTAACATGTCACGGCCCATAAACCATCACGCGGTCTCAGTGAGGATTGGTGTCTGTTAACACATATTTAGTTCGAAATAACACAATTTTGGTAATTTATCCAATAATTGACCTTAAACAATTTACTTTACCAACACATTCGCAAAAAACAAGTGACCTCTGTATTTTCAAACTGATTAATAAAAATATATATCTTTCTTTCAAGGCATCAGATGACTTACTATCGCTAGGCAATCCGTTTGCTGATATGTTTGGAGGTAAGTGCTTTGTAAATATATACTGTACAGATTATTAATTAAGTTACAATAGTTACCAAAATAGTATAGAGAACCTGAAAATTTATATCTAAGAAAAATGACTAAGACAAATTCTTCCTCTAGAAAAATGTAGTAAACTAACAAACGATATGTATTTAATAAATTCTAAAATGATGCTTTCTGTTAATGTGTAATTTATTTAATCGGTGCCGGTGTTTAAAAAAATGTGTATAAAATCATTTGTCACAATTGTTTACAAACTTTACAGTATAACACATACAATAAAACCTTTTTTAAGTATTCTTTTTGACGAAATTCAGTTTTGACAAATGGTAAGGAAATGTCAAATTCAATCTAAATACTAGCACATCCCAAGCTTTACGGGGATGGTCACATCCAGCACAATTGTATAATATTCACTTTAATTTCACTATTACCTAACGATAAGAATACTGAATTACAATGCAGTACTCAACGTAGTATGACTACAAGTATTTGTAAATATAAGTTACTTTTATGAGATCAAAGTGACAAAATAAGAGAAACAATTTTAAATAATGGCCGGTACACACGAAAACGAGTTATGTTATGGCTACGATAAAACTACGCAATGGAAACGAGATCGATAACGATTTATCGAATAGATTTTGAAACTGCCTCCGTTCGCTTACATGAATCAAAAATTTTATGCGCCAATTTTCGTTTAAACATTCGATAAAACTGTACAAGAGGCAAGTAATAAGACACAAAATAATTAAAGGACATAAGTAACATAAAAAAAAAATTGTACCTTTTTTTTAATATTTGCAATTCATTTTGAGAAAGGAATTGATAGATATTAGGCATGATATTGAGCGCAATGGTTTTCTAGTAATTAATACGAACAAAATTGGCTTACATCGCATGAAACGTCTGATTTAATGATATCGCGATTTGGCGAGTCTCGTTTTTTGTTAAAGGGTATTGAATTCCATTATTTTAAAAGTACATGTAAATGTTTGTTTTAATGTAATAAATAACCATAAATGGTTATTTCTGACAACACGTTTTACAGTTTTACTGAAAACACGTTTTTGTTTTCTTTAAATATAATTCTAATTTAATATACCTGCGAAAACGCCTTCATATTCATGACGTCGTGTCGGTAAGCAATCAAAACAGTTGCATAATATATTAAAAGATATCAATCGTAAGAAATGTTTTTGCCAATATAGGCCCCGCAAATTGCTAATGCGCTGGAAACATGAAAATAGCCGTGTAACGTAAGTATAGATAAAATAGAAAGTAAAGATAGCACATAATGCAAAAGATAAATTATTTATTAGTTGAATAATCGCCAAAATTTTGTTATAATAATTTAAAGACATTTAAAATATCAATTCATATGTTAATATTGAGGTATATGAATATTAAAAATAAATATTTATGGTATAACAAACGGATTTTTTTTAAAACAAAGTCAAAAGCAATAATAAAATGAGAAACATTGGGTATACTTTTTTTTATTGAAATTAGGTTTATTGTGAAAATCATAAATTGATATTTTAGTGAACTATAAAAAGTAACAACTAAACTTAACAAAATCAATCTAAAACAACAAAAATTGTCACTTCAGTGTACTCGTCAACCAGTGTTTATTTGTTAACGGTACTGATTTTTGAAGGCAATTATGTCACCAAAATGGCGGCCAGGCGCATTAGCAATTTGCGGAGGTTATGCAACGTCCACCATGGCGAGATGAGTGAAAAAAATAAAATAAATACATTTGTAATATTACTAATATGCGGTTTTAAGCTATTTATTTATTTTGTAAATTTGAAATTTTGTTGAATTCCACGACTCGAGAACTACTGTTAATTATATAACGATTAGTACCGTACTGCATCGTGATTCACGTATGGCAACGGTTGTAGCGGGCGCGCCTACGCCGGCGCCGCAGCCCGCGTGGCCGCAGCCCACCAACGGGTTCGCGGCGTTCCCCGCGCAGCAGCCAACGGCCGCGGCAAACAACACATTCGTGTCAGAGGCTAACTTCTCTAACGTTTTCAGTAACACTGACAGCACAGGTGAGGCGCTTACGTAGCACGAGGGGTTGCCATGCCCGATGCGATACTACTGTTATGGTAGTTTTTATTTTTTTAGCAGTTTTAAAGTATTTTGACTGTAGTAAATTGTAGTATGTCAAAATGAACTTTTACGAATAAAATTATTAATTTGATATGATAAAGAAAAAGTCTTACTATGAATATTAGCATGGTTCTATGTTAGCTTTCTAGATTCTAATGCATAAAATTTATGCCTTTTTTACATTGGCTGATACGGTCAGCACGCGGGCTGCAGGTGATTTCTGTGGCTCTATTTCATTGGTCGTTTATTAGTTGGTTTACTGATTAATAAAATGAGCCCGCAGAGTTCGCTTCCCTTGGCATGCTGCCCCATCGGGCAATGTTAATGAGCCATTACTCTTTGTGACATCAACATGGCAACCTCTCAAATTCTTTATATTAATATCTTAATAGTAATTGTCTCGGTGATGGTATAGTTAATGTAAATTGTTTATATTTCTAATGTTATATACGTATGTTATCCGCAAGCTGCCGCGGCTAACCCGTTCATGGGTATGGGAGACCCCCAGCCGGTGTCCGCTTCCCCCGCCCGCCCCCCTCCCCCCTCTATCCCCCCTCAGCCCAAATCGGCCTTCGATGATCTCGAGGAGGTAATGCGCATGTCTCTCGGAGGCTCCCCCGCCAAACAATCTACCCAACCTATCACGCAGCAACCCCAACCAATGGCAGCGCAGCCTTTCAGTGACGTCATGTCGATGCCGATGTCTCAGCCGATGATGTTCGGGTCTCCCGCGCGACAACCGATGATGCCGATGACGGCGATGGGTTCGAAATTTGAATTTGAAATAGATGGCCGTTTTTGATTTCTTTTTCTTTTACATGACGCTTGGTTTTCTTATTTTTTATATTTATATTTCGTTTTGCACAGCGTTTCCGAGTTGCTAGCTGTAAAATAGTTTTCACCTAATTGTGTAGAATGTGTATTTCGTCATCGAGTTAGCTTTTAACCTTTTGTCCCGTGTTATATTGAATTGATTTTAATATATCCTGCTTAAAATAACACGTGTTCAGTAATCAGTACGTCAGGTTATCATACAAAATTGACAAATTTCTTCACGTGATTTTAAACTACGTGATTGAGGGTAGACTTTAAAATCAACTGCGGAAATTTAACATATTATAGTAATTTGACGTGCTGCTGTGTGTACAGAAAATATTGGACACCTATTTTCATTTATATCGTCATATATAGCATGATGTCTCATTATGTAATGTTGGAATTGTATGAATTTTTTTTTTCAAACATTATTACATGACGCATCTCTTTAATGTACATACCAGCTACTGGACGTAACAAGTATCTTATATCATTTTGTTGCTATATGCTTTATACTAAAACATTATGAAGAGAAATAACGACGGATATTATCACACAGAAATGCCACTAAATTAAAATGAATATCATAAATGAAATCGTTACGATAAATAACTGATACTTTTTATATTGTTCATTTCAGTATAAATAGCCTAAATGATATTCCTGATACCTACATTGTTTTTACGACAGTTGGATTTTCTATAGCATTGTCCTTTGCCCTCTATATATAACTGAAATATCAATTATTTCAACAACTGCTTCCTAACAAAGTATGTTGGAAATATCATATTATAGTTGTCATACAAATACATAGTTGTTTTTTATTAAATCAATGCTTACCTAAAAGGTTTTATATGAAATAATTGATGAAAGTACAAGGTTAATTGCGAATTATTTATTTACTTAAAAAATATATAAATTTCCAGGCCAACAAACACAGCAGCAACCCGGCAAAGTTCTCACTGGTGACCTGGATTCATCACTCGCTCAACTCGCAAACAATCTTACTATCAACAAAACAGCAACTCAAAAGTAAGCAATAATTACACTTTTTTGATGATTTATTTTTAAAATATCACACGCAAGAGGATTTGATGACAAGGTCGATATTCGCTTGATTTTTTTTAAATAGTTACCACATAATGACCATCAATTTCAATTATTTCTATTAAGTAGTTAGTTTCAGATAAAATGTAAATATTCAAAAATCAAATGGTTACTTAGGTTTTCTTGTAATTAACAATAATCACAAATTATATAAGTTTTTAAAGAAAAAAAAGTCTTCGTTGTATTTATATTTTTATCTGGAAATTTTCAGTATTTTGTCAAGTGAAGTGATTTAGTTTGCTAGTTCGAATATTTTGTATCATTATTACATTTTTTCGGGAGTTGCTTTTTATTTCCGATGTTTTTATGAAAAAGGATTTAAGAGCAGCTGCACGATTTTGATGGATTCATACGGCAAAAATATTTTTAATTAATAGTTTCATATAAAAATATTACGTGCAATGCATCAACCGAAATATTTATAAAATATATTAGTATAAAGCTAAATAAAGTAGATTAAGTAATTTAGTCAAAATATACGCCTTTGTATTTAAACCAAACCAAAATCTATTTGATTTACAATAAAATTCAGTTTGGGTTATTTGAAAAACAGTAGTCTGTATCTCACAGACATACATCAATGATTTTATTTAAAATTTGCCGATGCCCTTCGTGCCACCTTAACATAACTAAATATAATGCTTATTTACTCGTCGATAATAAAGCTTCATATTAAAACATTCCAAAATCAGCACCATAGTTTTTGACTTTGAGAAAAAATAAGATTAGTGCAAAGTATATCGTGATGTCGAGCCGTATGAGTCCACCTACATCCGCATGACTGACCCTCGTTGCCGGTGCGTGTGTTAGACCGATGCAGTGGAACTCGCCCAAGAACCAGTCCAAACCCGGCGCCACCTGGACGCCGCAACCCATGCACGCCACCACCGGCGCCGGGTACCGACCCATGGTATGTACCACCACGCCCACGCTCACTATATAAGTCCCGTAAATTGCTGATGCGCTGGAACCATGCCTAAATAACACCCGAGTAATAAATATAGATAGCACAAAAGGCAAGAGATAAATGAATTATTGAAATGTTATAGTTATTTAATAACTTTTATTTTGTTAATAAATTACGTGAGTTTTTGGAAAAGAATTTATTTGTAAATATATATGGAAAATAAAAAAGTTTGAAAAGAATAATATTTATTATATTTCATCAATTTTGCACTCACTATGACTAGCGAAAAATGCTTAAAAATCACCGAAAATAATAATGAAATGAGAGTCATTAGATATATTTATTATTAGTAAAATTATGTTTACCATATTGAGAAATTCATAATAGCAGTTGCTATTTTAGTCAACCATAAAAGTAACAAAAAAACTTAACAATAACAATTGGAACCAACAAAAATTACGTTTAATCACAACAGAGTGTAAATCAATAAGTGTAGTCGTCAACCAGTATTTATTTGTTAACGGTACTGATTTTTGAACAAATTACGTCATCAAAACAGCGGCTAGGTGCATTAGCAATTTGCGGGGATTATTACACTATACTAAACAACACACAACATGCGAACACGTTAGGACCACGCACTCAGAGCAGAACTATTAAAATAGACAGTATCATATCACAAACGCACTGAAAAATGTTATTGATAAATACAGGGTTATTTATAAAGCGAGCAGGACGAAATAGCTAATTTTAAAACAACATTGGCAACAGAGTTTATCTGTCATCTTCGGAGACACGAAGTCGGCCGATGTCCATTATTTATCTCCAAATTTTATGCTTTAAACGTTTTTCCCAGTTTTTGTTGTACTGTCGTTAACAGTCTATGTCTTATTCATGAATGAAATGCTACGCTCGCACGCTTAAGTAATGTTAATGGTAGGCATAGAATATGCGAGCGGTGAATCAAATTGTAATTTGTTTTTATATGAAAACAAATAAATATTTAAATCCATAAAATAAGCATTGTTATTTATAATGTTAGTTATCAAGTCCAGCGAGTTTGTTAGTGTTTTATGAGTAACCCTGTATAATGAATACGAATAATAATCTCGCAACAATTTGGTTTATCTTGTATATATTGTAGCGTAGAGAAAAATACTAATTGGTACCCAGTCGCATTTCCCACCCACGTTTAGCAGTCAGAAGTAATAATCTGACTACTCTGAACTTTGATTAAACGAATCCATAATACAATGTGCATAGGTGTCAGTGATCCATATTATGTAAATATATGGATCACTGACGCCAATGCACGCACTATTTATATCTGTATAATTCTCGCAATTGGACTAAGTTATGCAAGCAGGATCCGACCCAAAAATATGTCTAAATCGAGTTATATATGTAGAAAAGCCTTCTATGGCTTCTATGGAGATCAAGGTGATTTAAATCCTTTTACCATAAAAAAAATAGCTAAAACTCTAAAAATATCAATTTTGCAAAACACAAAAAGATCTGTACAGCATGAAACCATTAATTTTTTTATCAATTAAGTAAGTTCATGGTTAATTGCATCGTTTGCTTTAACAAAAAAACATGTTATCAACACTGTATATTTATATAAAATACTGTACTACACATGGTAATGTATTTATATAACTTTAAATTATATTGATTTATTTATACAAATATATTTCGTAATAAATATCCAATCCACATTAAATACGTTTTGCAATAAAGATCCAAAAAGGTTTTTATAAGAAAAAAAATATATATGTAAAACTTCTTGATAAATATATAAAAGAAAATACAATCTATAATAAAATTTGACTAAAACAAAAAAACACTTTTTTTCATGTTAAAATGTTGTAAACCTTTTTGTCTCAAAACTGTGATCACGTGGGTTGGATCTGGTTTGCATAACTACGTCCAATTAATCTTGGTTAAATATTTATTGAAGCATAACAGTGGTGGTAATGGAAAATTAATTGAAACCGGCGACATCCGCTCTCGTACAAGCAATGAATGATCGTCAATCGAATCCGTTTTTGTGATATCTGTGTAAATACCGCACAACACATCTAAGAATCGTTAATTTAAGTTTCTTCAGGGGCAAGGGTGAACACCGCCTTTGTATATATGGGCCATTCAAGGATTATAAAAGCAGAATTCTAACACTTGAATCCCCTGTCTCCTATCAGCAAAAGTAAACAACATAAGTAATTGAAAAATTGTAAAATTTTACTACTGGTACGCCAGATTGCATCACTAACACATCTAGTAAACATTTTTTTATAAACATTAAACGTCATTCACAGAATAGTGAACTAAGAGTAAAATTATAGTAAGCATTGTTTAATTTAATATTTTTTGAATTTGTAATATATAGAGTGTGATTTTATCCAGTAATACGTCATCGATGCATATTTAGATGTAAGAAGGAAGGATTCATTTTCAATAAATAAAATGTTCGAAAAAGTTTTTTGTTACATGCTAGTGCTGCCATCTAAGCGGAGCTTTGCTTAATATTACCTATTGGACAATCAAGGACAAAAAGCGTTTCCTCTCCATTTCTCTCTCTAGATGAATTTGAAAGAAAAGATTTTCTTCTAAAAATCATATTTGAATTATATCTATCCCAAAGAAATATACTTATGGAGTTCGATAGTAAAAAGTCACTAGTCCTTATCTATAGTTTAAACATATTTGAAAAAAAAAGCAAATTCAACTTGCATAATTCTTGAATGGTCTTCAGTTAGTCACTTTTATTATCATAGCCAGCACAAGAACTGTATTAATTTACTGATTATATTATATGTAGTATACATTTTTATTGCAATTGCAAAGCAAGCTAGGTGAAACACTAGTCAACAACACATTATTCCAAAAACACGGTATAATTGCGAAGTAATTGAAGGCAACTGAATGGCACAGTATTTAAGTAGTACAGACCACTTATCGTGAGACAAACGTATTAAATGGGCAACATAGAGGTGCATTAAACGCCAAACACTTCTATCCCGCTTTCTTTGTTGCATATTGTATAATTTTTGCGCTAGTGAACTTTCTTTTGCGCTAAAATCGACCTTTAATGCTAAAACTGAGAGCTCAGTTTCTTTTGCATTTATTATTTTACTTGTGCATATATATTTTTTTCTGTTTTCCCCGTAGCATGCCAGCATTGTTTTGCGTTTTTCAGGGTCCTGGCATGACTCTCCCGCCAATGCCTCACACTTTGCCTCATACATACCACCCTCCGCATTATGTTGTGGTAAGTAGCTGGTTATTTTTTTTTTTTTGCTTTACCTTTTAGGGCTTGTTCATTAATCAAGTTAAAAATAGGGAAAAACCTTGCACTATTACTAAGGGATGATTAGGTATATCACAGGAGGGAGATTTAGTGCAATATCTTATCTCTCATTATTTATTCCTCATTGACCTTCAAAAAATTACACTGTCACCAGCAAGCAGCTGGCAAGATGCTTATCTGAATTTGTATTGAAGAAGTGTCGCTGATCAGTCATCCAAATAGTCATTGAAACAATAATAGTCAAACCAAAAATTTAAAGATAAAACATTTCAGAGATACAAAATTCTATAAGACTTCCGTAAATAAATAACTTACAGCTACAATCGTTTTGAAAAGATACTTCTTTGTTTTTTTATGTCAGTCAAAAACAATCGCCAACTGAAAATTATAAAAAAGCGTACCAGCAAAAAATACACCTAGAAATTGTGATAGGTTCAATCTAAAATCTACGTTCTGTCGCTAAGTGCGAATTTAAAAGTTATCAAATAAAAATCACGTGATTAATGAACATCCCATTTTTAGATTAGCTAGTTGTACTTGGTTCATCCACAGCTTCGCTTTAGGATCCTATCCCCGGTTGTTATTTTATTTTAACTGTCACAAGTAAATACTTTCACACGAGTCCTACACGGTAAAAGGGAATATCTTCTTTTTTTTTTGAGTTTCGTAACTGACTTCTCTATGGGTGTTGAGATATTAGAAAATGGTGTCGTCGAAAAGGTAAAGTAAGGGAATGAGATGTCGAGTGCTACTACCGTGCATGAGTGAATGGTTGTTTGCATGCTAGCTCATTCTGTGTGAGAGTAGTTCTTATGTGATATCTAATTGTTCATGAACAATAGACATTTTGTAGTTAACATTTTTTTTTTATTTACAATATCAAAATTATGATGCTCGTCATAATAGTTTCACTAGATGCCGTGATTTTGTTAACCGCTATAATTTCAATATGGCTAACTTTGAATTGACACAGTTAAAACTCCTCCACCTAATGTCTCATTATACAGGAATTTAAAAAAGATATATATTTTTTGTCATACTATATATAACACCACATAGAGATACATAAAACTGCCTTAGTCACATTGAACTTGAATTTTAATGCGTTACAAAACTTTTACAAAAATTTTAAGTAGGTTAATTATATTTTATAAATAAAATTAAAATTATTTCTGTTTGTGCTCATTCGACAATAATATACAATAACAATATATGTCATAATATCCGCAACAAAATATATAATATGAACGCGAGAACCTTCCGTTTCCAGCAACAGCCAGGCATGGTAATGGGGATGCCCGGAGCGCCAATAATGCCCATGGGAGTGGTCCCGCCGATGCGACCAGCAGTCCCGCCTCAACCCACCACCAATCAGTTCAGTTAAACGCAGATCACAGATCACATAACCTCGCGTTCACATACCCGACTGCTACCGCACTAACTACTTGGGATATGCTCAAAAGGCAAAATCTGCCTTAAGTACTTTTCACATACAGTCAATCAAATCCAAAATATGATTCCACTTCTAATTTAAACTGTCCAAAAGTTTAAACGGTCGGGTCGTCAACACAGCCGTCGTCTTCGCTGACGTGCGATAAAGGTAGGTGCTTTACTCTCTTTTAATTAAAAACCCATGTTACCGTAACTTGTATGATAGTAGTAATCAGATTCGGTCACCTACTTTCCGTATGTAATTATTGTCTTTGTTTTATTAAAAAATACTAACATTCTAGTTCGTTAGAAGGCGTGAGCTGTCTTATTATAATGACATATCTAAATTATTATTCAGTTCCATTCAGGGCTTTGAAGAACTATGTATTTAGCTATCGTTATTTTCATCTATCGAATATAACGAAAATGAGGTAGCGTTACTTGGGTGTTATGGTAGTTGATTTAACGGTAAATTGTAGATTTTTGGAAATCTTTGCATTAACATTTATAGCGTTAATTCGGTAACGTTAGCGAGTCCTTGTTCCAATTTATTTTGTCAAAATAAATGCATTGGTTATTATATAAATACTTGCCCTACTCGATTGATACTAGTAAATCAAATAATACTTAGAATTGACATGATATATTTTTATATAATAATGAAATTTGTAATCTGCTTTGGAATTAGTTTTCATGATTTCAGGATGAGGTAAACATTGATGTATAAAAATATTTATTTCATTTTGAATCATGTTTACAGTTTATAATTAATTATTATTGTGATTTAATGCAATTTCTTCTTATGAAAAAGGTGCGTATTTGTTGATTTTTTATTTTCAAAAATTCAGTTGACATCACATTCCATATTTGTACAAAATGATTGTTTATTCTAAGCCAGAGATTGTGTAATTTAGTATACACACCTACTGTGAAATGAAATTACTTTATTTCCTACCTTTTGAACATTGATCAGCATTTTGTGTGGTTTGGAATTGAAGTGAAAATCTAGTTTTAACTTAAGATTATTAAATTTATCTAGTTACTGCGAAAATCACATACCTATGTTAGTAGATGTATACCTAATATTAATTATATAAATAATAGGTATGTGTATAAATGATTATGTCTTGCATATTTAGTCAGTAGAATTGGTGGGACTCTTCGAAGACACTATATAATGTGGTAACGTCCCTGAATTCTTCGCAAGATAGTAAATTTAAATGGAAAAGCACTTTTGACACAATCTAAGGTACTTTCATTAATTTTTATTTCCATATCCATGTAATCTTATGTAAAAATGTTTATGTCAAAGATATTATGTATGGGAGTAACACGTTAAATTGTTAAAAGAAGTTACGATTGTGTAAGTATTGGCAAATGTTAATATTATGGGGTGCGCTTAGGTTACAATGGCCCACGACACCGATTCTCAAACATAAGAATGGAAAGCCACATTATTACCATTGCCAAAATGTGTTAGCGAAACATGATTATGAAATTTTTCTATGTAACATTTGCGGTTATTTATTAACAATACTTTGTACAAATGTATTCGCTAGCCGTATAAAAATCTTTATCTCTTGTGATAATATAATTTCATTTGAAAGACTGTTAATTTTGAAGTATTACAAAAGTACTTTATTCTTAAATGTATAAATATTATCATTTGTGCAAAGCATTGTACTAATATAGTGTTGCCATCATTTAAAATATGGTTAT